ACGTCTGGGAATGTACCACGTCCATGGTCCTACTCTGGAAATGATGATGCACACAATGGACTCCGGACTAAGTGCGTTCCTCTAAGTCTTCCCACCAATACGACCAAGTTGCTAAAACAAGGTCATACGATTTTAATCTAACATGTTGGAAGAGTGTTAGTAAGGCTAGAACTATCACTGGGACGTGGTACTTTCCCAGACTTTTCGTCGGTATCGTCAGTGAGTCTCCCCATTCTTAGCATCATAGTACAGCTCATGAAAGTGAACTAAGAAGAGTTTCGTTGGTCGATTTTATCAGATGAGTGCGGTAAAATATATGGTACTCATGGATAGTATATTAAGTCTAATAAAGGAAGCTACATTCATCCTTATTCCTTGTGTTATCTATGGATGTTCCTTCAGAGTTTATATCAGAGCTTGAATAGCTCCTTATTCAGGAATGTGTGTTCAAGGAAACCCTCACACTTTCTTGTGTTAGGCAATCTTTCAGAGAGAAATATGATCCGTTATCGAGATCCGGCTGCTACAAAATTGTTTGCTCATGTGGTCGATGTTATGTTTATGAGACATGCCGACCTATTCGAATAAGATTGGTAGAACATAAAAATGCTTCCAAAGGTAGCTGGATCCAACGGTCAGAAGTGGCCGAACACAGGTAAAAACTGGACATCAAATAAAATTGTCTCAAACTAGTAGGTTTGCTGACTACAGTACGATTGTGTTAAGAGAAAGATAAATAGGCTATTGAAATTAATAGCTTAGGAAATACGTTGAATGTGAGGAACGGTGGTAGAAAGCTTATTAGGAACTTCTTATGCTTGATTGATAGATTGAAAGAGAGAAAGGGTGTTGAACCACCGTCAAAAAGAAGGCAACTTAATTTGTCTGCTCAATGATGGTTCTAATTTCACTCACATTTGTCCAACATGTTAGAGTAAGCTCATCAACCAAACCAGGCATGTCAGATTACGCAACCACAGTCTTGCCCTTCCTTGGAGGATTACACGTTAATGACCTCAGACTGAAAGGTTAGGACAAGTGGTTTCGTAACTTTATTTTCATGCTTACAAGCTCATATTTCATTATCTCAACCATACTTCTTTACGGACCTACGCAGCTCCCGTCAAGGATTTCTCTTGGGTCATTAGGTCTTGAGGATCAGAACCGGAGATTTGACCTTTGACAAGTCTGATTTAGGAACCGTATTGCATATAGACGCTAACACGAACACATACACATACGCATACACTTGAGCAAAGGTAGTAAGACCAGTATGAATGAAAATTAACCAAACCACTCTATATCGATCTATCTAGGTTTTAAATTTTTACTTGGCTCAATTGAGTCTATATAAGAAGAAATATAGAGCCGGACAGTCTTCTTGGCCTTTTGTTAACGTGAGACACTTACAAGAATGAAACCCAGCTCTGATGATGTCCATTATTTGCTGGACCAAAGCTCGACACATTTTCACCGGAAACGAGGGAGGAAGTCTTGTGGACTGCGTCGAAATGAATATCGTATAAAAGCCAAACGGCTGCAGTTCAACTAGATTCATCCGTCCTCATCTGGCGAGATCGACCAACGAATCTCTTCTTCATTCACTTTTATGCGAACTGCAAGTCCCGCTAACAAAATTATGTTTGAACTTTAGAAGTGTCCATTTTAATGCTGCAGTCAAGCCTCATTAGTAATTGTGACGATTTTGGATGTCAGCACGATCCACCTAGTACCTATTTTCCATTTGGGTTTGCTATTCTACATTAGGAACTCATAACTCGAGCAGCTATGGCATCAAGTGGGACAGTGAGTTCGCTCCAGATCTGGAGGCTCCGCCACAAGTCCGGCGCCTGGGTGCCTTAGCTAAATTCTTTATGGTAAACTGGACACGAACGCAGAATCACACGCTGCTACAACAGCTTATCGGCGGTGTGCGCTACTTTGATTTCCGCGTGGCCACGGGCAGGCACCAAAAGACTACCAGTGACAGCACAAAGGTCCTCTCGTCTGTCTCAAAAGAAACCCAGCAGAGGTCGGATCAAGGTCAAGTATTACTGAACGACTCAGCATCTCTGTCTCTGCCGGCAACAGATAATTTGTTCTTCGTTCATGGCCTCTATGCGAATTCAATTCGGACAGACCTAAACGAAATTAAAATGTTCCTGCAAAGCCACCCGCGGGAGATTGTTCTTCTAGACTTTAATCATTTCTATGATATGGATTCATCGCATGCTGAAAAGTTTTACAATTTACTTCAGCAGGTAATTATTTATATTTTCCCATCTCATGATGTATAATATTAGGAAAGTCCACCCAGCCCTATCTCGCTTAACAATTAGTCGTATTGATTAATTACCAGAACCACTATATTCTAGTGGG